AATGGGCAATTATTGTTTAATGAGTTTCAGTTCACAAGATGAAAAGAGTTATGGGAATGGAGGGTTGTGATGGCTGCACAATAATGTGAATTATTTAATACCACTGAGTTGTACATTTAAAAATAGTTAAGATGGGCCCAGCCAGTGTGGCTCAGTGGTTGAGTGTCGACCTAGGAACCAAGAGGTCACACAGTTCATTCCCAATCAGGAAACAGGCCGGGGACTGCTGGATCCATAGTAGGAGGCGTGCAGGAGGCAGTGATCATTGATGTTTCTCTCTCAGCAATGTTTCTATCTTTCTATCCCTCTCCCTTCCTCTCTCTAAAAATCAATAAAAACATAATTTTAACAAAATAGTTAACCCCTGGCTGGTTGCTCAGTGTTTAGAGCGTCGGCCTGCAGACCAAAGGGTTGAGGGTTGTTGGATTCCTGTTCAAGGGCATGTACCTCAGTTGCAGGTTTGATCCCCTACTCTGGTCTGGGCAAGAGGGGAGGCAACCAACAGATGTGTCTCTCTCACTTAGATGTTTTTCTCTTTCTCTTCCCCTCCTCCCTCCCTTCCACTCTGTCAAAAATAAAAAATCAATGGAAAAAATATCCTCGGGTGAGAATTTTTTTTAAAAAAAATAGTCAAGATGGTAATTGTTATGTTAGGTGTATTTTATCACAATAAAAAAAAATCTATTTATGCTGAAACCGGTTTGGCTCAGTGGATAGAGCGTCGGCCTGCGGACTGAAAGGTCCCAGGTTTGATTCCGGTCAAGGGCATGTACCTTGGTTTCGGGCACATCCCCAGTGGGGAGTGTCTAGGAGGCAGCTGGTCGATGTTTCTCTCTCATCGATGTTTCTGACTCTCTCTCTCCTTTCCTCTCTGTAAAAACTCAATAAAATATATTTTTAAAAAATCTATTTAAAAACAATTAATGAGGCCGAGATTACACATTGCATGATTCCATTCATAGGACCTTCTGAAAAGACAAAATCATAGTACTAAGAACAGAGCAGTGGTTGCCAGGGGCTCGGGGAGGGGGAAGGGTATGACTACAAAGGGGTTCCGGAGGGAGTTTTTTGGGAGATGGGACTATTCTCTATCTTCATTGTGTTAGTGGTTAAAAGAACCCTTACATGTGCTAACATTCATACACTGTACACGAAGATAAACTACTATATGTTAAAAATAAAAGGAATTAACTGGCCCAACTCATGGTAACTGTTTGTCTTGCCCAGATAATAGCCACCCAACTGGTTGGAGTTTGTGGCGAGAGAAGAATAGAGTAGGCAGGAAGGGAGAATAAGAACATGCATGCTGCATAAACAATTGTTCTGAGTAATTTTTTATTCCTTTTCTTTTTGGCGAGTTGTCCCCTAAAGATCAGTCTTGTGTTCTTCCTAGGGCTTCCTCTTTCTTTTTCCGTGT